CATACTTGAGACCTTGTATGGGAAAGAATTAAAGAAGAACACACCTGGGATACTTTTATAGCAAAAAAGCTTTCTCATAAAGCTAATGAATGATGAGCTACCAATTCTGAACAAGCTGGCAACTAGAAGGCCTGACCTTTACAAACAAGTGAAGTGTATTGCATGCAGCCAGCAAAGTGAAACTTTCAAACATTTATTAGAATGTCCAGAATATAAAAAACAATTACAGGAAGCATGGAATAAAGGACAAAATGGGATTCTTAGAGACTTCAGAGGGCTCTACAAAAGAGAAAAAAAGAAGCAAAAGAAAAACATGCAAGATTGATTATCCATAACGAAGAAGAATGGCTGAAATAAATAAATGGATCTATAAACTGGTAGAACAGACCTCAAAAACCAGTCAGGACACTCTAAGCTTTTGTACAGGACTAGTAAGGAGAGATTTAATCCTAAAAATGGTAGATCTGAAATGCTATGGAAAAAGAATTGGTAATAAGGTAAGAAAATGAATATTAAAGATGCAAAGAAGAGTATGCAATCAAATAAGAAAAAAGATTTGAAACAAAAGATGTGAGAAGATAATTGAATAGAAATATTTACAGGGGATTTGCAAAGTAGAAAAAATCAACCGACCCTCAGGCATACACAACTTAAACTATCAGTTCTCAAAAGTAAAGATCCTCTACCAGAGAAAAGAACTCAAGAAAATAAAAACCTTAAAGAAATTCTACTCAAAGGTATTACTTATAAAATGAAGTGGTTGGGTTTTAAGCTTGGTCAGAACAACGAATAGTGATTTGCAGTGGTGATCTGTGGGCAGTAAAGTTAAAGGTTGGAAGAGTATTCACCTGAACCATTAACAGAGCGATAAATCACTCCCAAAGTTGCACTTAGAGTTTTGATATATTAAGACAAAACAGCGATGAGTAAGTTAGGTAAAGTCTTAGCTTTAGCGAATTATTTAAAATTATAGTATACAAATGTTTAATAAAGCACACGTACTTAATCTAACCTAGGGTTTATAAAAAATAAATAAATAAATAAATAAATAATAAAGACCTGTGGATCTAGAGCACAGTGATAGTGCTCCTAGGTCACAATCGCAAGGTCCAGAGTTTAATATCACCTGAGGATTAAGTGAAAATATCACACATAATAAAAATGATTCTATTGGATAACAAGTTACTAATTGATATTGAGCGCAATCCTGGCTATCTTACTGATATCTGAAATAGAAGGATCTGTTATAACATAGTGTCATCTATAGCTGATCTCTACCAGATCAGGTCAGTTTATAGGTGTTATGGATAATCAGTATTTTATTATTACTATAATAAGATAGAGAAGAATTGGACTAATCTCGTGATTAACAAGGACAGAAACTGGATTGATGAAAGTACTTCAATGATCCTATCAATTGATAAAAAAGTTATCAAGTCAAGAAGATTGAAGTCCTGAAGAAAGTAAAAATTGCACTAGTAGGATGCATAAAAGCATGATTAAATGTGCCTGTGACATATTATCAGAAGACCTTAGTGGGAGAAAAAATCTGCAAATCATACTAAAATTCCAAAACTAGAAACAGATTAGAGTACACGCAATAGTCTGATAACTAGATTACTCTATAAAATTGTTCTAGAAAAAATTAAGAAAGTATTATATGTCCTTCCCAGAAGGAAAACTAGGTAACTAAATAGGTTAATCTAATATACTATATATAAATAGTCTAATTACTTATTATAATAAATAGTACATAGTTTACTTTATCCTATAAATCAAATGTATACAAAGATATATTAACTATAAAAAGTTAATAAAGGATATAGAGAATATAATACTGAATAGTCCTATAAAACAATTCATAAAAAAAGTAAATAATAAAACAACAATATACTATTGATTACAACAAAACTAAACTAAATATAAATAGAATCTTCAAATATAATATCAATAGAACTATTTATGTGATATGGTATAGGTAAAGATAGGTTCATAAAGGGGAAGACAAGGACAAAAGTCAAATATCTTTTACTAGAAAACATTAAAAATATTAAATTAATAACTATAAAAAAACTATTCACAATTGTTTTCTATTATTCAAATTATTGATTTATAATATTTTCTAACTTTTGTTCCTATTAAAGTGAAGAGCTATAAATTTTGTCTCTCAAAAAAAGACATAAGTAATCTGTAAAATTTTATATGCTAAATATTTTAGAAACCCATCATTAGATATGGAAAAGACTAAAAAAGGAACATATATGAGACACCTTTAAAAGCTCATAGCAAAAAAGTTTTTTGATAAAATTAATTAACAATGAACTACCGGAAATAACCAAACTAGTAATCAAGAGACCAGACCTATATCACAAAGAAGACTGTCTAGTATGTGAAGAACAGGAGAAAACAATAGAACATTTTTTGAAATGCCCAAGTTATAAAAATACAATAAAGGAAGCCTGATCAAGAGATATAGAGATAATATATCAAGAATTTAAGAAAGAGAGTCAGAAGCAAAAAGACCAAGCTCAAAAAGAATACAGTAGTAATCCAATAGTAGATAAAAAAGAAATGAGAGAAATAAAAGCATAAATAACAAAATTAATAAGAAGAGTATTCAAAAATAGCCAAGACTCAATCAGTTTTTCCTTAGAGCTAATCAAAAGAGATCTATTAAAAGAAGTAGAGAAACTCAAATATGGAGAAAAAAAAATAGGAACAGTTGTCAGAAAATGGATATTATGGTACCAAAAGAAGATTTTGAATTACTTTAGGAAAGATATGTGGAACAAATGATATAAACAAGTAATAGAATGGAAAAAAGCTCAAGAAATTTTCCCGAAAGATAAAATAAGAAGGTACATAAAGTCTTATTCAACAAGAAAAGCAAGAAAGCCAAGAGAAAAAAGAAAGAAAATAAAAGAAAAATGTCCAAGAAAAGGTTTAACAAGGATAATATTAATGGAAGTTAAAAGTGGGATGAAATGGTTGGATTTTAGGCTTAGTTGAAACTTTAGTTAGTAATTTGCAGTAATAACTGTAGGCAATGATGTTTATAGTAAAAGGGTATACACCCAAACTATAAATAGAGTAACAAATCACTTTCAAAATTGCACTTAGAGTTTAACAACAAACTAAAATAAGTGAGTTAGTTGGTGTTCTAGCTTTAGTGACACTGTAAATAGTATAGTCTATATTATGTTTAATAAAAAATACATAACTAATCTGATAGTGGATTAAAAAAAAAAAAATAGAATAAAAATAAATAATAAAATTGCAAAAAAAATTTTTTTATTAATATATATTAATTGGCAAGAAGATATATACTATTATAATGTTTATATATAAATTGATAAATTTTTACAAGGGAAATATTATATACAGTGATATATAATAATTATTTATTTCAAAGTTATTTATTCTTCTTTATATTATTATTAATTAAATTTATTAGTTATAAAGTTTTAACAATTTTAAGAACAATATATTAAAAAAAAATAAATATAAATATATAAATTCATAACTTAGATAAAAGAAAGAATATATTCATTTAACAAAAGTATTCAATTATATAAAGATTACTAATTTAAAAATCAAACTCTATCTATGAATAACTTTAAATATAATGAATAAAAATGCATCAAAAATTTTTTTCTATATAGTCATAAATTTTCTTTATTCAAAAATAAAAAAAAAATTAATATTCAAAACTCATAAATTTATTGATTTTAAGTATAGCGAAATTATTAACCTATAGAAAGATAGTCACAATAAGTGCAATATTAAAGATATTTTTAATAATCCAAAAAAAACTATTTATAATATTATTGAAAGTTATAAGACAAATCAATAAACTAGTATAATTTATAGGTCTAGTAGACTATTTAAATTAATAGAAAGAGATATTAGACATCTTATAAAAACTTTAAAAAAAGATTGACAATAATTTTTGAATAAATAAAAAAAAATTTAATCAATTATTAATAATTTCAGTAAACTTTTATATCATTTAACATATTTTATATGATAAAAGATTTTATAATCAAATTAAAAAAAAAAAATCTTTGGTATCTGAAGAAAATTGCAAAAAAAGATTAAAATAGTATTATATTAGAAAAAATCGAGATCTAAAATGGAATACAATAATCTGAAATAATGAATTTTGTTTTTTATTGCTTCAAAAATAATTCACATTATTTAATTTGATGATGTCACATGAAAAATATAATATAAATTGTTTAATTTCAATAGTAAAATCAAGAAATCCAGGCATAATAGTATGGAAATATTTTACAAAAAATAAGAATAAATCTTTGATTCAAGTTTTTGATAAAATTATAGAATCTATATATATTGAAGTCTTAGAAAATAATCTTTTATCTTTTATTGATAAATTAGATAATAATTTAGAATATATTTTTCAAGATGATAATGTTCCAGTTCATTGAGTAAAAATAGTTAACAATGGTTAAAAAATAATTCAATAACAAATATTTCTTGACCTACATAATCACTAGATCTTAATCCAATTGAGTATTTATGGGATATTTTAGAAAAAAAAGTAACATAAATATGATTCACATCCAAAAAATCTTGCAGAATTAATGATTATTTTAAAAGAAGAATGGAATCAAATCGAATTAAAAAATTTAAAAAATTTAGTAGAAAGTATGTCAAGAGGAATTCAGGCTGTAATAGATAGTAATAAAAATTCAACAAAACATTATTAATAAAAAATTCATACTTTTGTGAACACATTAGTATAAATTTTATTAAAAGTTATTTAGAAATTCTTTAATAATAATAAAAACAAAATCAACTTTAAATTTTAAAAATCACAATGTATCAACATGTGGTCAAATACTTTTGATAGGTGAGTGTACATAGTTAACCCAAAATCTATATAATAAGCGAGATTACTGAGTTTTGTTCTCAGAAGCGATAGGAGCTATTAAAACCCGGCGTGCGGAAAGTAAATTAGTGAAACGATAATAAGACTTCTAAAAGTTCAGATAGATTTCTATACCTTCATCTGGAAGCGAGAGAAATTGCTGTTGGGAATCTTTATCATAAAAAATTGAGTTTTGTTCAGTAATGAAATTATGATACTCAATAAAACGATAAATGATTACCGGTGGTAGGTAAAACTCTGTCATTTGGAGCTTTAATAAGATTGTTACTTGGAAGATATAAAAAAAAACGAAATCACAAGAATAACTGTAACTGATATTACATCTCTTTTTCGTCTTTTCGGCATAAATAGTGGTAATATGTTTTTCAACAACGGTTTCTTCTTTGGAAATGGTTTCTTTGATTATGGCCTCCTGTTGAGCGGTTACACTTGTTTCTTCATGTTCATTAGTTACCGAAGGAATTAATCCGCTTTGTACACTCGTTTCCATTGAAGTCATTCTGGAACAATTTAAAGTTCTTTTTATTAGATGTTGGATTGGATTCAAGATTATATTTTCAATTTTCCGAAAGAAAAATTGTGGGCAAATGGTTTACATCTATCTCTTAAATACAAAATCGCACCCTTTTCTTTTTGTCCCTTACCGTATAACTTTGTCACACGCATTCTAAATTAATAAAAAACCCGGAAACATATTTGTGTGAATAATGTTGTCTATATGGAATCGTCTTTCCATATTTATTGTTTGATAATATACATTCACACCTCTTTTGGTGAACAGGAATTAGTGTAAAAACGAAAATGTCTCCAATCAGTCTTAATGGTTCAATTTATTGGAAAATTCATGTGCGATGTAAAGCCAAGAAATGTTGTGAATTAAAATTCAATCAATGGCTTGCTCTTTAAATCACTCGATTTAATCGAGCACATTTTCTATTACTATATCCACAATACCTAAATTATTGTATATCGCATTGTTTAAAATAGGGAGAATGTCATGGTTGATGAAAATAGACAAAACATACACTGATAAGTTGTTTAATTAATTATTTTTATTTATATACTGTATATATACAGTAAATATATTTATTTTAACCCATAATAATTATAAATCTTTATAGTATTTATATTGTTTTCCATCATTCTTTTTAGCTAAAATTATTTTTAAACCTTAAAAATTATTGTTTATCGTTCATTACTATCACTTCCAAAGTTCTATATATGGATTAAAAATTGATATACTTTTTTAAAAATTGTATTAAAGATTGTTTTCTATTTCTTTATTATCTGTTTAACTCTTTTCTTTTTTTTTTTTTTTATATTTTAAAAATTCGAAAAAAAATTTTTTTTTATTTTTAGTAATATTAATTTTTCTTTTTTATTTTATTACTGTATTTCTTTGTATCATTTATTTTAATTTTTTTTTTAAAAAACCTTTTCTTAATTTTCTAAAGAGTTTTTATATAATTTTTAATATAATTGACTATAAAATTTTAATTTTATTTTTAATATAAATTTATAAATAATATTATATAAATTTAAAATTTTATAATTGTATTTTTTTAATGTAATTTATTATTATTATTATTATTTTTTGAGTATCCATAGTTAAGCTAGATTGTCAATTTATTAATCAATTGAAAATATAAGTACATTTTCATTCAAGCAACATAATACATACTATAGCCAAACTATTATTCTAATCTAACTAACTTATAATAAGTATAAAAATCTTTAAGTTCAGTCTTGAAAACAATATTTTGCTTCACAATATTTTTGGGTAAAAACTCTTCTAGTCTACTACATTATTATTAACAGGTTATCACTGCTGTATATCGATCCAAGCCACTGAAATATAGAAAACTATAAAAATATAAGTTGAAAAAGAAAAAGCATGATATCTAAAAATGTTTAAATAGATAACAAGAAAATAAAAATGCAAAAATTGAAAAAAATATTTTCAGCTTTTTCCAAAGACTTGCTTCTCAAGACCTCTTCTCAATAAAAAATGTTTGATTGAGATACTCTTTATTTTCTTAACCATCTAAGAAACTTATTTATTTTTGATCTTGATTTCCTTTTTATATACTGTTTGAGAAGACTTATTATCTAGTGGGAACCTTTACTTCCAAGATATACTTGATCCCAACCTTCTTTGAGTAGTGATTTTTTATTTACCTGTAGTTAAAAATAAATTCCTAAAGGGGAAGTAAGGACAAAAGTCAAAGGTCACTTACAGAAAATATTAAAATTTTTAAATTAATAATTATAAAAAAACTATTTATAATTGTTTTCTATTATTCAAATTATTGATTTATAATATTTCTTGACTTTTGTCCCTATTAAAATAAAGAGCTATGAATTTTGTCCTTCAAAAAGAGACATAAGTGATCTGTGAAATTTTATATGCTAAATACTTTAGGAATCCATTATTACCTGTGATAAAAAGGTGACTTATAATGAGTCCCAGGTTCTTATATGTCCTAGTAAAAATTGGATCTTGTTGTTTCAGTATAATATCTTCTAGCAGCTATATCTAATTAAAGAAAATTTATTAATATATATCTTACATTATTCAAAAGGTCAGATTCCTCAATAATCCTTTTGTCTTATAATGATGGAAAGGTTTCAAGAGTGATGGGAATCCTCATCAATTGTGATATTCTTCAATAATTTTTGAAAAAATGTATTCTCAACTATAATCAAAGGGTTGGAGCTTAGCATAAACTAGAGACTATTTGATCTTATTGCCTAACCAAAATAAAAAAGAGATCTTGATCTTGAACTTTGCCTAACTGGGATGATAGGAGAGAAAGACCTTAGCTTGAACAAAGCAGTTTTTTCATTATCTAGGGACTTGTTACTCATATCTTATTGACCTTATAAAACTTGATCTATAGGTTAATTCAATTAAAAAAGTGGGTAAACATGGGGCACCAATCAACTCTTTCAATTATCAATGACATTATCAGAACACATGAAGTAACCAGTAAGGGCTTGTTTATATTCAATTATTAATGTGTTTTGTGTCAACCAATCAGATGTCAGGTAACATTGTATTATCAAAAATTCAGAACCAAATTGAAATAAGCAAAATCTTCTAAAAAAACTGTAAAAAACAGTAGACACTTTAAGAGGATACAAGATAATATATTAAGAAGATAAATAATAAACCTTTTCCTGTCAATAAAACCTCTATTTCTTGTCATTCTAGCTCTGTAAGGTAACACTTCACTTGTCAGTTCTTTTACTTACTAGAATCTTCTTGCCCTTAATAGAGGAAGTTATACTTGAATCTTTTTAGGCTACTAAAGGTTCAAGTTTTTATTCAAAGGAGTTTATAAATATATAAAAAAAAGTAAGAGAGATATGTGAAAACAAGCTTCAAGTTGTTTTAATGAAAGTATAAAGACTTTATTAATAAGAAAGTATAAAACTTCTTGTGAGTATCTTTTTTGTATGTAATCAAAAAATTAGTGGAAAAAGTTTTTTATTTTTTATTATTATATTTTTTTTAAATATCTATTTGATTATATAGTATATATATATAAATTTTATTATTAATATATTTTAAGATTCTATTTAACAATAAAAAAATTTTTATAATTCTTTAATAATATATTTAAAAAATATTTACAAGAAATCTTATACTTTTAAAATAATAAAATTTTATTATTTTTCTTATAATAACTTAAAAATAACTTTAAAAATTATTTTTATTTTTATTTTTTTAAAAAATTTACAATTTAGACCTGTAGATCAATAGTGCTGTGGGTGTACTCTCAAGTCACAATTTATGAGATATCAGTTCAATCCCATTCAAGAATAGTTTTCCGCAATATAAATTACATTGTACAAGTTATATACTATTCAGTTACATGTATATTTATACACAATCAACCTATAAAAAACTTATTGTCTGACCATGGTATAACAAATCAGGCCATACACGTCCTAGTTAGTTTTAGTATCAGTAAAATAAAAATCCTTACTGCTCAGAATATAAGAAAGATATCAAGTAAGCCAGGAAGGATTCTGATTGATTCAAGATTACCAATGAATATGTGGAAAATCTATATCTTATAGGAGAGATAGAAGACTTAGGTCATTAATACCAATCAAAAAGATATCTAGTATAGACTAGCACAATATATGGGAGACAGCTGCACTCCAACTGGTGATTATGTAATAGTGTTATAATGGGAACCATAGAAGTGGACATGTTTGGAAGAAGCTATAAGGTTTTGCTAGATCAAAGAATATACCTGAAAGGTCATATTTAAAGAGTGGTTAAAAATAACATAATAGAAAACTATATGTCGATCAATACAAGGACACACCATTAAATTGTTAGGATATTACACATAATATTGGCCTTGTACAAATAGAATACAACCAGCCTCCTCAGGACTTAACATGGTAAAGAATCTATCATAGTATCTACAGTAATATGAATATCATTACTCTCTAAGGAATACACACTATAAAGCTTTCCATTTAATTTTAATAAAAGTCTTCTAGTGGATCCTTGGAATACTAAATACCTGGGTAGAGCAAGATAACTGATAAAATGATATTAAAATTGGTAAAATTGGCTGGGTCAAATATATAGAGTTAGATTTAGTATAGTTAATAGGTTAGGTGAATAGCTCATATAATCAAAAAAGTCTACTACTACTCAATAAAGATCTATACCTGTCAGTTAGGACATTTTTAAAAAAAAAATTATTATTATTATTATTATTATTATTATTATTATTATTATTATTATTATTTTAAATGCTAGTTTTGTCATATTTTATTGAAACTTATAGAAATAATAGGAATTGAACTAACTCAAAAACTATACATTTGAATTTTCTTATTTAATAAAGTAAAAACAATAAAAGATCTTCTTTAAGGATTATTTTACCTTGTGACTAAACCATCTTTTTAAAGATTAGAGGATTAGTATATAGCTCCACTAATGCTAAAATAAATTTCAAATATATAAAAATAAAAAATAGAAAAAGATTGTGTTTTTGATTATATACTACTTTTCAAATAGTTTATCAAAATTTAAGTCTATTTGACAAAGTTGTATTCAATATTCTATCAAACTTTTTAGATTAAATATTCTTATAAATAAGAGAGCAAGACTATACAAACTTAAACAGAAATGAAAATTTTGTATTACAAAAAAGATACAGAAGGATTGAAGAAAATAGTTTAATTATATTTGACTATTGTCTATCAGTTCTGATCTTATTTCTTTTATACTCTATCTAATATAAAATCTTCTATAGATATTCTTCTAAATAATAACAAGTTAAGAATTTCGTAAAGACTTTAGGATATAGAAAAAGTGAAAAAGAGGAAAAGTTTAAGACTTATCATCTATCAGTCTATCCTTCTTTACTATTGCAATGACACCACTCTAAAAAGGAGAATCTTGATACTTCTGGTGTACATCCTGGCAGACTTAATAAATTCCATAATATTTTTCCTAGAGTACTACTA